TCTCTCTCTCCCTCTGTCTGTCTGTCTCTCTCCTCTTCACTTTCTTTTACCGATTAAAACTTTCATCCTGAGTCTTTCTCCTTCCTCCCACAAAACCTGCTTGGAGGACCCACGCCCCGCACTGGGAGGACCATCTACTTGCGGGGGGACGCTCTTGCGTCCTGGAGGACCGCACGTCTCTTTGCTCTTGGAGGACCTGTGTTCGGATCGGGGAGGACTAACTCCTGGAGAACGCTGTTGCCCACGGGCGAGCTTTTGTCGGCTCTTTGCTCTTGGAGTACCAGCTGCTCGGTGTGGGAGGACCTGCTCCAGGACGCCAAAGATGCACTTGTCCCCTCAGGACGGGCGGGAGGACCTCACAGCTCCTCGGTCTTGGAGGACCAGCTCGCAGTGAAGAGGGACACCCTTGTCCCCGGAGGTCCGGCAGGAGGACCTCACGTCTCTTTAGTCTTGGAGGACCTGGGGCCCGGGTCTGGGAGGACCAGGTCGTGGATGGCGATGGCGGAGGAGAAGGAGCCCGAGAGCGACGGGGAACGGAGGCTGCGGGTAAAATAATCACAAAAAAACCCATCAAATTCAACAATTAATCAATAAATAATCACCAGGATCAAAAGAAACCTCATTAGGTTAAAACAGGAGGCCATTCAGCCCTCATCCATTGGTCTATCATCAGGGCTAGTATGAGGCCATTCAGCCCTTCCCCATTGAGTTATCATTTTAGACATGAGGAGGCCATTCAGCCCTCCCCCATTGGTCTATTATCAGGGCTCGTGTGAGGCCATTCAGCCCTCCACATTGGTCTATCGTTAGGGCTAGTATGAGGCCATTCAGCTCTCCCCGTTGGGTTATAATCAGGGATAGCAGGACGCCATTCAGACTTCCCCCATTGGGTTATCATCAGGGCTAGTGTGAGGCCGTTCACCCATTCCCCCGTTGGGTTATCATTATAAACAGCAGGAGGCCATTCATCCCACCCCCATTGGGCTTTCAACAGGGACAGCAAGAGACCATTCAGCCTTCCTCCATTGGGCTATCAGTAGAGGCAGCATGAGACTATTCAACCTCCCCCACTGGGTTATCATCAGGCCAATTGCACCCCTCCCCACCTCCACCTCCACCTCGGACTATCTTGGGGAACAGGAGAAGGATGTTCTCCATCGGGATCTTGCTTAACCACCCCCACCCCCCCCTCAATGCGTTTGGTGTTCCACCAATCCTGGTGGAGTTAAGCCCCCGCGAAGCAGCCTTGGGGGCTAGCCCTGAACCCTGGATTTACCTTCTTCAACCCTTCTTCACCGTTCTCTCCCTCCCGTCTCGGAGGGTTGTTTGTCAGACCGTGGGGGCCTGTGACCAGCCTGTATTCCTCAGGGATCGGGGCTGGGCCCTCTGTTATTTCTCGTTTATATAAACGATCTGGATGAGAATAGAGGAGGCACTGTTAGTAGGCTTGCGGATGACATCAAGATCAGTGACGTAGGATTACAGAGAGATATGGATCGATTGGGTCAACGGGCTGACGAGGGGCAGATGGAGTTGAATTTGGATAAATGTGAGGCATTACATTTTGTTAAAACGAACAAAAACAAGAATTATACAGTTAATAGTAGGGCCCTGGGTCGTGCTGTAGGACAGAGGGACCTGGGGGTGCAGGTAGATAATTGTTTGAAGTTTGTGTCACAGGTAGACAGGGCGGGTAAGGAGGTGTTTAACACACTTTCCCTTCATTGCACAGACCCTTTGAGTATCGGAGTTGGGGGACGTCACATCGAGGTTGTACAGGAACGTTGGTGAGGCCTCTTCTGCAGAACTGTGCCCAGTTCTGGTCGCCCCATTATAGGAAGAATATGATT